GTAACACGTTCTTATGTACGAGAGTTAAAGTGCCATTATCCACGTACCATTTAAACGGCGACTTTCCTTGAGACCGATGACGTGTCTTCCTTCTTCCGGGTCCCTCGGTGTCCTGTGGTTTCCTCCCTTCGTGGTCGGCGAGGTGAGGTGGGGCACATTTTCTTGGGACGTGCTGACCATCTCACTTGCGGGACCGCATTCGCGTTGACACTAAACCCCTCCTTTACGCTCGCTTGCTATGACCGCGAAAAGCTGTCGATGTTAATCACGAAATAGAATCCGCGCGCTCTATGCACCCCCCTTCCTGTATACGCGAAATCCTACGAGCGGAGCTCTCTCACCCTTGTGACGGGCGCCCTTCGGCTGCCACGTCACAAGTTTCGATTAAAAGTACATCATTTAATGATCTTATTTATGCAAAAACATTCAAAATCATAAACCACAATTATCTGTAAATATCGTTATATCATTAAAATGTTTTAAGTTGTAGCATCTTTCATATTGCATTCTGATAATTGACGGTTGTTTATTCAGCAAAATCTGTTTTAATAGTTTTACCAGAGGTACACTGCAAATACATAATTAAATGATATACATATTTGTAAGTTTAGCAGATTACAGATATTTATATGGCTTTATTTATGTTCACAGTGCATCTTTGGTCAAACTGTTAAAACAACTCGTCACAACTTTTATAAGCAACCATCAATTATCAGAATGCAGTTTTAAGAATGTTGTAACTTAAGACATTTATATATAGATAACGATACTTGCAGACAATTGTGGTTTATGATTTTGAATATGTAGATTTTATCATTATATATTTGATCACTATATACTGTATTTATAATAGAAACAATAAATTAAAACTTTAATTGCTATTTCCATCAATTGTTCAAATGCTTCGCTATTAACCAAATGGCTATTCTCCATCAATTAAATTTTATGTTGCAGCATTCTTTATATTTTATTTACCGTGATATTTAGACACCTCCGAAGTAGGATTATTATTGCATTGGCCAGGCATTGGTCTTTGGATAGATGACTTATTACTTACTCACTAAAGCTGCTTGACATTGAAGTTGTTTTGTCAATTTGAAAACTGTTTTAACAATTGAAAAGCTGCACCACAGATAAACGTAAGTACATTTCTGCAAATATACCTATTCGTTTTCATAGGCCCATTATGAGTTTTCTTTTATCGCTAAAGGTGCATGTAAAAGTAACTTATAAATCCGTTTATTGTTTATAAATAACTTTTACAGGCGCTTTTAAGAATAAAAAATAGTTCAAAATATGGACCATAATTTCTGACAAGGTTGTGAGCAATAAATTATTTTCTTAAACTATTAACCAAGAAAAAATTAAAATAAAACAAAATTTTAAATCAACACATTAACACGTGTTTCAATCCTTTTATTATAGATATTTAGACACCTACTTCCGAGCTAAGATTATTATTGCATTAGCCAGGTTGTTCGAGAGCGAGATTTCGTTTCTAGCATAAGGCGATCGAACGTTCTAGAACGTTCGCTCGCCCGTTAGCATCGCGACAGGCTCGCGCTAGCCGCAGCGCGAGTCCACATTTTTTTCGCACTGATTTCGCTGTTTGGTCGCGGTTGCCATGCCGACCACTCGCGCAAACAAACAAACAAACACGCTACTCTTCTCGCATGTTAGATCGCCGCTGTTAACACGCGGACCTTATTTGGCAATGATCTAGAAGATTCGGCAACCGCGACCAACCAGCGAGCGACCTGTCGCCAAGTGCTTTTTCTTTAAAAGCTGCCCTCGTCGACGACGAGGGCAGTTGGTGCTTTGCGTCTCAAAACGAGAGGAGCACGTCTCCGTACGCTGGAAAACAGCTGATCTCAAGCGCAGGCAACTGAATCGGCGAGCTCGTCGCGTGTCCACTCGGTCCGCCGGCTATCGTGTCTCCTATCGGGACCGCGATCTCCGTTGCATTCGCGCTGCCTTCGACGCGGTGGAGCCGCAGCATCGCCGCGACTCCGCTCGAGCGCCGAGAGTCGATCTCTCTCTCTCGGGCCAGCTCCGAGCTCTTGTTCGCAAGTCGGCGAACTTCGTCCGTCGCTTGCCGCTCGCGCCGTGCGCGCACTATCAATCTAGGCCTCCGCGGCCTCTGCGATCTTTAACCACGATCAACCGGATTGTGGCTCCTTGCGACGCGTCTCGCGTCCTTCCCTCGCGTCACTCGGTTTTGTAATTTGTGCGCTGTGTAAATTTGTGTATATATTGTGTAACGACATTGTGACACCCACGCGTTTGAGACATCGTTCGTTCGACGGCTCGCGGACGCGCGCCAGGGTCGCGGAAGATCTCCGTCACTCGCGTGCAAGATTTCCGTCCGCGGAGCGAACGAGTATCGCTCAGCAAGATTTCCGTCGCGCTCGGCTGACCCGGCCATCGGCACCAGAAGATCTCCATTTCGAAATACTTAGCCGTCGAACCGCATTCTCGAGAAGTGTTGTGCAACAAATAAAGTGATTTCAAACAAAGTGGCAAATCGTTCGAATCGCTCTCCTTCCTCACCGCGCCCTGCGCTGGGCGATATCAGCGCGTTCGCTCGCTGCCCGACGGGAGCTCAGCCCGTCGGACCCGCGACACAGGCATTGGTCTTTGGATAGATGAGCTTACTACTTACTCACTAAAGCTGCTTGATTTTGAAGTTGATTTGTCAATTTAAAAACTGTTTTAAGAATTAGAAAGCTGCACCACAGATAAACGTAAGTACATTTCTGCAAATATAGCTATTCGTTTTCATAGGCCCATTATCTGAGTTTTCTTTTATCGCTAAAAGTGCATGTAAAAGTAACTTATAAGTCTGTTTATTGTTTATAAGTAACTTTTACAGGTGCTTTTAACAATAAAAGAAAGTTCAGAATATAGACCATAAACTCTGACAGGGTTGTTAGCAATAAATTATTTTCTTAAACTATTAACGAAGAAAAAAATTGAAAAAACCAATATTTTAAATTAACACATTAACACATGTTTCATTCCTTTAATTAGCCCTTGTTTTTCACATCAAATGTTCGAATTCCATTAACATTTAAACAAAGCTTGTATTTAATGGTGAATGTTGTCCAATGTTCGTGATGAAAATATGAAGGCACGTATTCAAGCAGCTCGATCTCTGTCTGTTGAGGAGATACTACGAACATTAAACAACATTCGCCATCGAATACAAACTTATTTAAATATTAATGGAAGATAATTCCAACATTTGATCCGAAATACAAAGGCTAATAAAAGGACTAAAATATGTGTAAACGTATTTAAAACTTTTGTTTCTTCACTTTTTTGTCGGTTAATAGTTGAAATTTAAAAAATGATTCTAATGAAAGTAGTTTATTTTGAATAGATCTATTAAATGATATCATTCGATATATATTCCTACTTAAAATTTTGAAATTATCTTCGGTACATTGATTTATCCTGTATACCAAATCGATAGTTATTGGTAAATGTATACAATCAGAGATTAAAAGATTGTCCAATTTGTTCTTTTCTAACTTTAGGAATCTGTCCATCTTATCCAATGGGAAAAATTATTTTCAGATAAAAATATTTTCAAATAAACTCTCATTGGATATAATGGACAAGTTCCTAAACTTACAAAAGAATAAACTGGGCAATCTTTTAGTTCACGATTATATATTGATCCTGATATAAATAATTTTTTTATTTAAGATAATGTATTACTTCCCCCCGCATGGGTTCCCACCTTGTCGTTGGTGGTGGGGCTGTGGCTGCGGTCGGGGCATCCGCTCAGGGATGTTTCCCGGCTGCAGTCATCTAAGAGGAACCCACCAAGCCAAGGTGTTAGCAACCGTGCTGAGGACTGCGTGGCACAGGGGGAGCTGTGTCATGAACGGTGCCTCCCGAATACCGGGCGATCTCCGGGAGTACGCTGCCGAGCCCCGGACAATCGCGGCTCTGCCCGGGTGAGATCGCGCGACCGCGGTACCGCGGACTCGTGGAAACAAGTATGGACACAAGTAGCAAACAAAGTAGGAAACAAAAGCAAAAAAATAGATGACCTTCTCCAGGGAGTGGCTTCTTTAGGAAGTGAACCTAGAGAAAGAGGAAGCGACGCGGGATCGAGTACCGATGCTCGGTCCGATTCCGCGGCAAGGAAACTCGCAGAGCCACGTCCGAAAATGAGTAGGGTTGCGAGAAGAAAGCTGAAGAAACAGCGGGCGAGAGAGAGGGCTGAAGAGACCTCTGAATCGGGTGCTGCCTCTGGAGACGTAACAGGAGCTCGGGGGGAGGCGGGTCCGTCAGGGACGCAAAAGCGCCCCAGACCGGATCTCGCGACCCCCAGTCCCTCAGAAAAACGCTTGGACAAGAAGCCCAAGGTCAATGACCAAGGATTCTTTGCACAGGCGACTAAAGGAATAGTCAGGGTGGCACTCATTATTGAGGGTTACCCTGAAAACAAGATTAAACTCGGGGAAATAGCCATTATTAAAAAGCTGATCAGGAAAAGGATCCTGGGACTTCCAAGAGGCTCCCCTTTTTACCAGGGCTCCCCTTTTTACCGGAGTTTGGGAGAGAGACGGGGCAATCATTTGCGGTTGCGCCGATGTAGATTCCGCGGACTGGCTAAAAAGCCTATCCTCGGAGTTAAAACTAGGGGAGAATGAGCTACGTGTGCTGCCGCTTGAGGAGCTTCCGAAGCGCCACAGGCTGGTAGTACACCTAGAGGAGCCGGATTTGGCTGTCAAGGAGGCGTTACAACTTCTTGACAGACAAAACGCAGGACTGGCAGCCAGCGAGTGGGTTGTCGTCAGGGGGAGCGAGAGCAGGGACGACGAAAGCGCCCACTTCGCTGTTATTGTCGGCGACTCCTCTCTGAAGGCCCTAAAGGACTGCGGAATGAAACCCTTCTGCGGGATGGGCCGGGCAACTGTAAGGTTGACTGGCAAGGAACGCGGAAGGGAGGTGGAAGCCGCTGGACCGTAAGAGTCTGCATAGAAATGACAGGTCTTAAAGTTTCAGTGGTGCAGATTAACTTGCATCACAGCAAAGGCGCCTCAGCGATTTTAGCTAGGGGCATAGCTGTGATGCAGACAGCAATAGCACTTGTACAAGAACCATAGTTCTTGAACAACGCTATAAAAGGCCTGAGCGGTAGTGGCAAGATTATCTCGTCCACCACTCAGGGAAAAATAAGGACATATATAGTGACAAAAGGTCTAAATGCAATCTTTATGCCGCAGTTCAGTAATGGAGATATCACGGTGGTACAAGTGAGGTTTAATCTGGACGAAGGGACCCACAGGGATGTATTGATGGGGTCAGTCTACATGCCCTATGACGCCAAAGACCTTCCACCACAGAGGGAAGTCAAGGAGCTAATGAAATATGCGGAGGAGAGAGGGCTGGAGGTGCTCCTGGGTTGCGATGCAAACTCCCACCATGTGTGATGGGGGAGCACGGGCATCAACCCGAAAGGGGAAAGCCTACATAAATTCGTCATTCGGACAGCAAGCTAATCATCCTAAACAGAGGAACGGAACCCATCTTCATGGACTGCAGAAGACGTGAGGTTTTAGACCTAACCCTATGTACGAGGGGAGTGGCTGATCTGGTGAGGGACTGGAGGGTTTCAAATGAACCTTCGGGATCGGATCACAGGCAGCTACGTTTTGCGCTCGAGCACAGGGAAAAGGGGAAATGGGGTCGCAACCCCAGAGGCACAAACTGGACGAGCTACAGGAAGGACCTTGGCACCATTCTGAAAAAAGCCCCGTCCAGATTTAATACAAAACAGGATCTAGAAGTGGCGTCGCAGTTTGTCAGCGACGCTATCATAGAGGCCTATGAAGTAAACTGCCCACTAAGGCGGAAACAAGTCGCAACCAAGGTCCCATGGTGGAATAATGAGCTTATTAAGCTCAACGTTGAGACAAGAAAGCTTTTCAATAGAGCAAGAAAGTCAAAAGCGGAAACTGATTGGGCAGCTTTCAGGAGCTCCCAACGACGCTATAGCAAAGAAATCACAATGTCAAAGAGGAGGAGCTAGAGGGAGTTCTGCGGGAGCGTTGAAAGTTCTCCAGAGATATCCAGATTCAACAAAATCCTCAGCAAAGACAATTCACCTCAACTGGGATGTCTTAAGCTTCCGGATGGAAGATACACTGAATCAACGGAGGAGACACTAAGACACTTGATGTCCACTCACTTTCCGAGATTCAGAGAGGATATCACGATTTGGAGCAACAGAGACGAGGATCAATCAAGAGAACCTCGAATGACCAAAGAATGTTCCCTCGCGGCCAGAATCGTATAACCGAGCGGGATTAAATGGGCAATAGAAATCTTTGAGCCTTATAAGGTACCGGGACCGGATGGCATTTACCCGGCACTCCTAAGGGAGGGACTGGAGGTGTTGACAGGTCCACTAACAAAAGTACTCAGGGCTAGTATAGCCCTGAGATATGTACCACAAACCTGGAGGGAGACGAGGGTAGTCTTTATCCCTAAACCAGGCAGAAACGGTCATATCTTGGCCAAGGATTACAGGCTGATCAACCTTACATCATTCATTTTGAAAACAGTGAAGAGGCTGGTAGACAGATACCTGAAGACAGGACCCTTGGTCTCTTGCCCACTGACCACAACTCAATACGCTTATAGGGAGGGCAGGTCGACCAAGACTGCCCTACATCACCTTATGAGCGGAGTGGAGGGACAGCTGGAAGCCAAGGGGTACGCCATAGGAGTCTTTATAAACATAGAGGGAGCTTTTGATAGCACTTCTAACAAGTCTATCAAAGAGGCAATGTACAGAAACAAGATCCTAGAGGCGATCGTGGACTGGACGCAAAGCATGCTAACGGGCAGAAGTCTAACCGTAAGCCTGGGTGAAAATTCAGTTGGGGGGAGTCCGGCTGGGGGCTGCCCGCAAGGGGGCGTAATCTCTCCCCTGCTGTGGTGTCTAGTGGTCGATGACCTTCTGGCTGAATTAAAAGAAGCAGGATTCCTGGTATATGGCTACGCGGATGACGTGGCCATCATTGCTAGAGGAAATTTCATATCGATCCTCAAGGAGAGGATGGAGGCAGCCTTGAGGATAGTTCAAACCTGGTGCAGAAAGAAGGGACTGTCGGTCAACCCATCTAAGACTTCGGCAGTGGTCTTCACCAGGAAATACAAACCCGAACACATAGAGCCACTAAAGCTCTGGGGCAGGGAAATAACTTACACAAGCTCGGTGAAGTATCTTGGAGTGATTCTGGATGCTAAACTAAGCTGGCTGCCAAACCTCGAGGAGAAGAGAAGAAAGTTCTATACCACCATGTGGGCTTGTAGAAGAGTAATGGGTAGAAACTGGGGGCTTCAACCCAGGGCTGCCCTTTGGCTGTATAGGACGGTGTTGCTGCCAAGACTAACCTATGCAGCGGTAGTATGGTGGCCGAGAATGGAGAGGGTGGGGGCCAGGAACCTGCTAAAAAGCCTTCAGGGTAGTTATCTGAGGGCTGTGACAGGGACCATGAGAACCACCCCGACGGAGGCGCTGGAAATAGCTCTCTGCTACTCACCTCTCGGTCAGCTGATAAAATATCAAGCCAGGAGAACGGCTTATAGACTTAGATGTCAGGGGGAATGGAAAGATACCTGTCTAGGACACACTAGACTGGGACTTTCTCAGAAGTACCCCTTCATGTTAAAACAGGATAGAATTCCAAGAAAACATCAGTTGGGGAAGAAATTTAAAGTTTTAATACCAACTAGGGACGACTGGAACAATTCTAAATTACTAGCTGATCCAAAAGTGGATCTTTGGTTCACAGACGGATCGGGTGCAAATGGTCGGTATGGGGTAGGAATCTATAGGCCGAAAAGAAACCATAGAAAAAGCATACCTCTGGGCGGGCTGGCCACGGTCTTTCAAGCCGAGGTGATGGCCATCCTGAGGTGTGCGGAAATTCTTGTTGTAAACGATAGTGCAAACCAGCACTTTTACATATACTCTGATAGCAGAGCGGCCATACATGCCCTTGCAAAGACCACTACAGAATCGGCTGTAGTTTGGGACTGCATGCAGGCATTAGCTAGACTGAGGGAATCTAACAAGATAACTCTAGTATGGGTCTCAGGACATCAGGGATTTCTCGGGAACGAGATAGCCGGCGAGTTGGCCAAGCTGGGGACCCAAATGGACCCAGCCACGCAGATCGTTAGAATACTTTTTGTAACGGGAATCAACATCATCAGAGGATGGCTTGAGCGAGAGCACGTTGGCTTCTGGAGAACGATGGGGGGGCTGCCGGACAGCTAAACGGCTAATGGAGCAACCATCGCCGGGGAGAGCCGACGAGCTCCTGACCATAAACAGACTAAGGCTGAAGGTGGGATTGGGTCTTCTCACGGGACACATCACACTGAGGAGCCATCTAAACAAACTTGGGTTTACGGAACAAAACGACTGCCGCCTATGTGGTGAGGAAAGAGAGGACAGAGCCCACATTTTATGTCGGTGTCCTGTACTCATATGTAAAAGGTATAGATCCTGGGGCTGCATGTTCATGGAGCCTGAGGATCTAAACGAAAAAAGG